ACATCACCATGTCCCTCCCCTCGCCCTTGTCATTGAGTCAAAGTTGTTATGCTTGACTTTCTTCTTCCTTAGGATGTGTTTTCTCCATGAGGTACCTTAACCCCTAAACCCTCATTTCAAAAAAAGAAGAAGTTTTGAGGAATATCTGCCTTAGAAAAATCATCCCAACTTCTAGTAGGGCTTCAGCTAAAATCCCGAGAACAGGTGCACATAGATAAAGGACCTCATGGTGCACACTCTCCATTTGGCCTTCCAGCCCAAGGGTGGCAATTGCGCTGATGTTTGAGGTCAAGGCTGAGGCCGTACATGTCCTTTCATGCCTAGTGGAGCCAGGTGTTTGCCATCTCTGTCCAGAGTGACCAGCATATCCACAGGGTTAGCTTCTGCCAGGCAGTAATCACCCAGGAGTCTATAACATAAGTTCTGGGTCTGAATTCTGGAGGTTTGGGGCTAAGGGACTCATTGGGCAACTGCATAGCACCTTTGAACAATTCAGAATTGTCCCGAGGGCCTGGGACTCTGGGCAAGGTTTCCTGCTTCCCACGCCAGGTTCTGGTGGCAACAGCACAAGAAGCAGCAAGCTCGCTTTGCCTTTTTTGGAGACAAGAGTTTTTTGGAAATCGAATTTATATTCCTGGGAAAGATGGTAGAGAATATGCTTTTCATTATAGTCATGGAGGCAGAGGAGTAGAAGGGTCAGGCCCAGGGCCCCATAGCTGAGGCTTTAGCACCAATTTCCTCTGGAGGAGCCAGCCGCTCCTTGTACACACTACTTTCCCAAGAATTTGACACTGTAAGACTCAGGACATGGGAATGAGACTTGGAGAGCCCCGATTTCATCTCTTCCACTGGTTTTTTTTTTTCCTTCCTTTCCTTTTAAGCTCTACCTACGCCAGGCCTGTCATTTCTGCTTTGCAATGTCCCAGGAGTCCAGCTTCCTGCCCACATCTTCAGAGCCCTGACACAGCTAGTGCCCTGGCCCCCATCCGTGCCAGGGCTGCCCAGAGGCAGACAAAGCAGAAGCATCCCAGCCCTGTGTCTCCCCTTGCACGTCAAGGGACGCTTTCACCATCTGCTTTCAATGAAGTGTGGGTTTCGGGACATATTATGGAAACAGAAACGGAAAAACCATTGAGGTCCCTCCTGCAAAAACAATCATTATCCACTGAAATGAGTTCTCAGGAACTTCCGGGTGTGGAGCACATCACTATTAATGAAGAAGAATTCAGACAGGAATTCTGGCCCGGGCTGGACAAAGGAGAGGGAAGAAGAAACGGAATGTTTTGACTCACCCAGAAGTTAAGAAGAGAGTCCCTTAACAGAGCAAATAATACAGTCCTACCGCCAAGGCTGTGGAATCTGACACCAGCCTGATTTCTCTCTGACTCCAGAATGCAGCTCACAGGGCTCCAGTGCGGGGGAGGTGGGCTGAATTACCAGAGGAACACCCAGCACTCAGTCAAGGTCAAACCTTAGCCAAGGCTGGAAATGTCATCTGCCCAGAGGGTAGCACACTGGAGAGGGGGCCTGGCCCACAGGATCTGTGAGCCCCCATGAGGGCTCAGAACAGACTCATGCTAGGTTTCCTGGTGGAATTTGCTGCCCTTCACATCAGCCCCATTCAACCCTTGTGCCGAGGAGAGGCTGTGGGTGAGACAGAAGTTGAATACTTCTGTGGCTTAGCATGCAAGAAAAGGAAGCTTAGAGGACCATGCCGGTGTACACCAGGCACTCAGTAAGGACTGGGGAAGAGGGGTGCAAGAGGAATCTCTACAATGTTCTCCCATCTTTTCTCCTCCCCAGAAAAGAGCCACCACCATCCTTGTCAGAGGGCAAGGTAAAACTGCATGTTGGATGCTATTACAGGGTTGAAGTGGGGTGTGTGTGTGTGTGTGTGTGTGTGTGTGTGTGTGTGTGTGAGTGGTGTGAAAACCCTATCTTCGCTTTCTGATGCTTGAAATTCTGCCCTTCCTGCACTTTTCTTCTTTCTCTCTTAAGATATCCTTATGTTGGAGAGAAAAACATTTCAACTTTATCAGTAAATGGCATCATTGGGGAAATTAGTTCATCAGATTCTCCTCAAGAGAAGGTCTTAATGGGAAGAAAATGAGACACCCTGAGTACTGATTTGGGAACAGGGCACCAGGAAGGAAAAAGGTGGTCATGGGGAAAAAAAAAAAAGGTGATTTGCTCTGTTTCAGTTTTGCTGAGAGTGACACACATTTGGTTATAACTTTTGTGTCATTAGGGAGAAGTAACTATCATGGAAGAGAGTGGCCTTCTTCATCCCAGGGATCACAAATTCCATATCCATGTTTTGTTGTTGTTGTTGTTGTTGTTTTTTGTTGCAGGGAGGGTTGTTTGGTTTTTGTTTTTGTTTGTAGTACTGAGGATTGAATCCAGGGCCTGGTGCATACTAGGCAAGTGCTCTATCAACTGAGCTGTATCCTCTGCTTTCATGTCACTGTTTCACAAAGAAAATATTTTTTAATTAGGTAACTGATTTTGGAAATCTGAAGGGCTCATACATAGGTCCATTTAAAAAAAAATACCTATCCTAGTCTGTTTTCTGTTACTATAATAAAGTACCCCAAACCAGGTCATTTATACAGATAAGACTTTTTGGCTTACAGTTCTGGAGGCTGGGTGTCTTCAGAGAATGGCACTAGTATCTGCTCGGCATCTGGCATGGACCTTCTTGCTGAAGCATATGGCAAGACAGAAAAAACATGCTAGCTCAGGTCTCTCTTCCTCCTCTTATAAAGCCACTAATTCCATCAGGGAGGCCCCATCCTCATGTCTAATATTAATTATCTTTCAAAAACCCTATTTCCAAATACCATTAACATATGACTTTGTGGTTGGCTTCTAACACATAAAGTTTGGGAGAAGATATTTAAACCATAGCGATACCCCACTTCCAGGTACTAAACTTTCCTCTGGGCAATTTTTACTGTGGACAAAAGAAAGCAAGTGAGGCCTGTCTATGAGTCTGAGAGGGAATGGAAAGGAAGGTACCCCTGCAGCCCCAGCCCTCCATTCCCCAACTTCCCTGGATGACTGCATAGCACACACCCATCTGCCAGCAGGAAAGAGCCGCCCTTAGCTTCCCAGATGTCACTCTAGCAGTGGTAACTGTCATCAATGAGACTGAGAACTAGGAGACAGGTGGCCCTCAGAAATTTCAAGGCCAACTTGACTGAACCACTGCCTTGGTGTGGGCGCACACATTAACCTCCAAATTAATAGTGAAGATTTTCTTAATTTTTCCCAGGCTGAGAGAAGGTGCTGGTGGCTGTCACTCTTTCCCTCCCCTGCAGAGGACAGGGGCTGCTTGTCCTCCCTGTGGGGAAGCTATTTATTTACTCAAGTCTCTGGATAACTCCCCAACAGCATCTGAATGGCAGGCTTATGTAAACCAGAGCATGGTGGCTGCTTGTGCTGGGAAATGTGGGCAGCCTGACTACCCAGGTCTTTCCTGAGCTCAGAGCCACTATGCACACATCCCATGGCAGAGGGCCAGGGTTCTAGAAATTCCCTTGCTACATGCGGGTCTGCAGCCTGTCCAACAAAGACAAGAGACCTTGCAAACCAAAGCTCCCCTTGATTCATTGTCTTAAGAGAATTAAGTACTTACTTACCATATATTGCTCATTCTTTATTACTGAGCACTTGCTCAGAAATATTTTTATTTTGTTATCTACATACTAGCTGCAGCTAATTGAGCCACATGACATTCTGTGAATCTGATTGGTTATCAGGGTCGTTGGAACTAGTGGGACAGGGTAAGTTTATTTTGGCTCAGCGACTGGCTGTGCATTGCTTAGTGACCACAAAATGTCACAGAAAAGGAAGTAAGCTATGTAGAATAATACCAACAGCAAACGCTTAGGTACAGGTTAAGCTGTGCCAAGCATTATTCTAAACACTTCACATATGTTAATTCACTTACTCCTCAAAGCAACTGGATGAAGTAAGTTCTATTATTATCCCCATTGTACAGATAAGAAAACCAAAGTACAGATGTGAGCAGTTTCCCCAAAGTCCCAAATGGACCACATACAGCCCAAGACTCATTCTCTGTCTCATCTTCTACATTGGAAATTGCCCACTTTGATTATTAATGAACTCTGGTCAATTAATAGAGCTGATATGCCGTGGCTGGATTTGTGCTGCCACCATGAGGAGGAAGAACCACAGCTGGGTCAAGGAGGAGCTCATGGACGGAGGAAAGGGAAGAAGAACGTGGAGCTGAGGTCTGGTTGGTGTCTCCTCTCAAGAAACAAGCAGCAAAGAAAGTGACCCTGTATCCAGCCTGCTCCCTCCCCTGCGGTGACCTGGACGAGTAAGCCAGGTCAAAGGGCAGAGCAAGTCTTGCCTGCAGACCCCAGTGCATGAAACCGAGGCTCGAGTCCTGAGCTCAGAGTCAAGGGCCAAAGGGAAATGGAACGTCAGGCTGCCCTCTGGCTGGATCATCTGCCCAAAAGGATGAGCTTCCTCAGAAGAATGCAGGCATGAGTAAGATATGGAAACCATGAGCCAGGGAGCAGGTGAAGCTACGGAAGGGGTAGGGTCGGGTGCAGCATGAATCCTCTCAGCCTACTGGACATGGCAAGTTGTTTATCATGGGAAACCTTCTGGCCTAGTGATTCCCTGGGGTTAGGGGTAGGTGAGGGTCTGTTCTTCCTTTCATATCTCTAGCTCAGCAGAGCCCAGTTCAGAGGTTGGGGGACGATGGTGTTACTAGAACATTCTCAGAGGACATGACGAAGACCCAGAAATGCCAGCTCACCCCACCCCACCCTGGGATTCAGAGAGACAGGATTGGTGAGTGGAGAGATGGAAAGCCCTTGGAGACAAGATAAAAACTAAGCTTAGACTCTGGCTCTGTGACCTGGGGCAAATTAATAAGCTTCCTCCAAGACTCAGTCTCTCCAGGTATAAAATGGGAACACTATTAATGTCCTAGATAGATGAGGCAAGAAACACAGTAGGCCTTATTCAATAAATGACACTTGCCACTCTTCTTAGTCCCAGTGTCAGGAATAACAAAAGCACTGACAGGAAGGCAGACAGGAGGGGGCGGGAACAAGGTAAAATGGCCACTCTCTTTTGGAGGCTCTCCTTTCTCCCCCTCCTTCTAAGTGGGAATAAGCCCTTCCTGTGGGCCACCTCTCTCCCTTCCCCTCAGTGGGCCACCTCTCTCCCTTCCCCTCAGTACCCTGGGCAGGTACTAAGTGCTTAAGAAATGACAAAGTGGTAGGTTGGGAGGAAGCCCTCGGTCTTCACTCCCTCATCTCTGACTTCATTTCCTGCCTCAGCAGGAAGTGCCACCGGGGATGTCTTGATCCAAATCATCATCATAAAACCAAAGCCCCTTTGATTTCCGTGACCATTTCCTCAGAAGGTGTGCAAATCCTGGGGAGTTGGCGAGGAGGCCCCGGGAGGCTCAGGATGCTGAGAGGAGGACTGACTGCCAGCACAGAAGGTATGTCCTGCCCTTGTGACCTCCCCTGGGCCTAGGCGGATCGTGGCCCCTGTGAAGGATGATGACGTCATGCAGCGGCTGTCTGGTTTCAAGTCTCTCTGTAAAACAAAGAGCTTCGTTAAGCTTCCACCTTTTAAACCATCCGTGTCAAAAATCTGTTTCTCTGGACAATGTTTCCATCATCTGGAATAGGGGCCCACCCACAGAGACCTTAAAAACCTGGACACCCTTGGGGAGGTGAGTACCCCTCATCCTGGTAGCCTGGCCTTCTCCATCCCATCAAAGAACACCTCAGGCACCTGAAAGAGCTGCTGGGAGCTCCCCCAGCTCCCCCAGCCCTGCCTGGCCAGGCCTGGCCTCAGGATACATCAGTTAACAAAGGAAAATTCAAAGGGAGCCTGATTTTCCCAGCTGCCAAAGAGGGGAGAGGAAGCCAAACTCTGTGAATCATACAATACCATCCGAACAATTCAAGGAACTATCCAAAGGAAGTGACCGAAATAGCCCAGTGACCACTGCCTGCTGGGGGAGTGAAGAAAATGGAAGCCCATATCTCCATAGCACAGGGCAAGGGTGCATGAAAAAAAAGAAAAGAAAGCCCCTCCCCCCACCCCCGAGCAGGGGAAACTGCTGCTTATAAATATTTACTGAAGCGAGTTGTCTGTTAACTCCCAGGCCCAGGAAGGAAAAGTCCGTGGAGGAGGGCAGAGATAGCAGCCTTGGTGCTAGGGCTGCCTTGCCCTGTCTGACCTGAGTGCTGCCTCACTTCATGGGTCTGGGTCCCCTGGGGGTTCTGGGTAGCTTGATTCGGGCCAAATTTGGGCTCCTCTCCTTCACCCCTCAGGGCTGATGCTTCCATATTCATCAGCTCATCCTGCAGGTGGGAGGACTGGCTTGGGTACCAGTTTGCATGTGGAAGCAAAGAAGAAGAGCCTGGGGTCCAGGCTGTGCAGCTCTCCAGGGAAAGGACCTCATTTTCAGAGAAGCTAACTCCTGAGTTCTTTTCCCTCTCCCTCTGATCTAACAGAGTCAATTCTGACAAATCTTTCTCCAGAGTGAAAGAGTTTTAAAGACTTCAAGACCCAGCTAACTAAACACGGAGCCCAGGAGAGGATAAACAATCGTCTGTTATCAAACTCATTATCCTTGGCTTCAAAGGACTCCAACGTGTTTACAAAAAGAACACGAGAGTTCTCTATGTTTATTTTAAAGTATGGACTTTAATAAACAGTCTTAAAAAACACCAAGAAAACCAAATAACACACAGGGGAAACAACCTTGTCTCTTTGTTTTATGCATCAGTCAAAACATAGCACTCCCCTTGGCTTTGGCTTAAATGAGTTTTGTTTCTTCACAAAAGTTCACCATTTATAAAATATATTCACTTTATTGACTTTGATCTCCCCACTGGCGCAGCTGGAGGTTGGTTCAAAGTTCTACAGAGTTAAACACCACCACATGGGACCGGGGAGGCTTGCGTGTGCCACTTGCCAGTGTTGGCCAAGGCAAGATCAGGATAGGGAACTTTAGATAGGTGGGCGGTGCCAAGATCAAGTGTGTGCCCTCACTCTGAGAAGACCCCAGCCAGCTGCTCCCTCTGGCCGGCCTCTCCTGGCAACTTTCCCCAGGATGGAGAGTTGGGAAAACTGTGCCTAGCTCCAAACACTCGGAGGCCAGGAGAATGCCAGCCAGGTTGGGTCCATGTCAGCATTATTCTTGTTAATTCTCCCAGATTTTGGGACACTTTACTAAAAATGCAAACTTTGCAATTAAAAAAAAAAACCCTCATACACCTTTTTTTTTGTCCTACATTTATCATTTATTATTAACTAAATGATTTATATGAGGTAGTTTCCTTTTCAGAGTGTTGGTCTGCTGTGCCTTCATTTTATTTTCTGATTATTTATTGCTAGTACCCAGAAAAACAATTTGTTTTGTATATTGATCTTATACTCTACTGTCTGAATGAACTTGTTAGCTCAGTTTATTTTTAAGGAATTCCTTAGAATTTTCATTTATTTATTTATTGACTTATTTTATTGATTTTATTTTTTACTAATACACCACAGCGAATGCATTACCATTCTTATTACACATATGGAGCACCATTTTTCATATCTTTCTACATAAAGTATGCTCACGCCAATTCATGTCTTTACACCTGTACTTTGTTTTTTTTTTTGCATAACAATTCTTATTACACATATTTACCACAATTTTTCATAACGTGTTTGTATATAAAGTAGGTTGACACCCAATTCAAGTCTTCATACATGTACTTTCGATAATGATGTCCATCCCATTCCACCATCTTTGCTAATCCCCTGCCTCCTCCCTTTCCCTCCCTCCCCTCTCCTCATACCCCTTCATTACAAGAAGTCAAAAGTATCAACATTTTAAATCTGTGCATATGTACACACATGTGCATGCATGTATGTAGACAGGTGGGTGGGTCAGCAGAGACGGAAAGAGAGAAAGATAGATAGGTAGGTAGGTAGGTAGATGGATAGATGATAGAAATTCAAAGTCACCTCTAATTATACTTTTCCCACAAGAAAATTCCCCCACCTTCCCTGCAGATGTCTGGGCTGCCTTCTTCTATATTGACAGAGCCCTGATTAACTCCCAGAGTTCAACCTTGCTGCCTGAGAACCCCAGTTAAACCTGATAGCTCGGGGCCAGCCATGGTGACTCCAGGCCCTGGCTGGGGATTAGGAGGATATGATGGATGGTTAACTCGGGGACTACTGGAAAAGGCTTTTCTTCTCCAAATAAAAGGACATCAGGAAGGGACTCTTCTTTTTCCGTCTCAGGATGTGAGGCTGCTGCTGTTGTCATGAAATCAGGAGGGCAGCTGAGGAGGAAGAGCCAGAGGATGGAGAGAGCCAGGGTCTTTGATGACATGGTTAAACCACTGAATATACCAACGGTAAAGTGACCTCGTCATTCTGGACTTCCTGTTACTAAAGAAATAAATTCCCTTATTATTCAAGCACTAATTTTTGCTGACAGCTTTATTAAAAAAATTCACATTCTATGTAATTCATCCATTTAACCTGTACCATACAATGGTTTTAGAATATTCAGAATTGCAAGACCATTGCCATAAACCATTTCAAGGACATTTTTACCACTTTCAAAAGAAACTCTATATATCCTTTAGTCATCACCATCTCCACCCTTTCATTCACCCCGCCCTAAATTCCACAAATTTCTGTCTCTGTGGAATTGTCTGTTGTGTTCAAGTTCAATAGTTCAGGATGGAATCATATAATAAATTGTTCTTGTATGGCTGACTTATTTCACTAGCATAATGTTTTAAAGTTTTCCCATATTATAACATATATCATGGCTTCATTCTTATTTATAGCTGAATAATATTCCACTGTATGGCTACATCTCCTTTTGCTTATTTATTCATTAGTAGACGAATGGTCATGAATAATGTTGCTATGAACAAGTTATTATATGGTATTACTCTTGATATAGACCTCATGGTAGAATTGCTGTATTATTTAAGTAATTATGAGTTAGATTTTCTGTTATTTAACAGCCAAACCATCCCAATCGATATACTTTAAAGTAGGTGACACAAAGAGAAAGCCTTGGTCTCTGTAAATACTCCAGCTGCCCGTCTAAGGACTTCTCTCTCCTTGAAGTTACTAGGAAGAGAATACTCAAGTTCAAGGGTAGCAAAGTATTTTGTATCTGATCTGTCTTCCTAAAGAATCATCTATTTTTTGTCTAATTTTTTGCAGTATCTGAGGGGAAAGGGGCTGGGAAAAAAAAGTCCCAAAAGCTGTCTCTCCTTTACTAAAGCATATCATCTGCTCCAGAACTCCCAGAACTCCAAAACACTATGATGAAGATTCCTGCAGTCCCTGGGTCAGAGTAGACCAGTGTAACCTTTCCAGGGTCACTGCAGGTCATCTTCTAGTTACACTTTGCTGGTTCTCTTGAGTATGAAAGGCTTTTGTAGCTTTAAGAATGTTTTTAAAACTTTATTTTTTATTTTTTCAGTAGTCGATGGACACAATACCTTTATTTTATTTATTTACTTTTTATGTGGTGCTGAGGATCGAACCCAGCACCTCGCTCATGCTAGCCGAGCGCTCTACCACTGAGCCACCCAGCCCCAAGAATGTTTTTAAAGAATCAATAATTCCAAAAGATGTCAGTCTTCGCCTCTGTCTTCATCAGCTTCCATACCTTAGTGATTGGTTCCTCTTAGAAGTAATTGGCAGGAGAAGGGTACCAGTTTGGAAGGAAGGGGTGTGAGATTCTAGAGGCCCGAGAGGAAAGAACAGAGAACAAGGAAGGAAGAGGAAAAGACAAACTTCATCCTGTGGGAAGCTACTGCTGACCTCACTCATGAATCTTCACAAAAAAAGGTCTGGCTTCCTTGTTAATTAGATTAGGATATGACAGATGATTGATGGATAGGTAAGCGTGACTATTATATGGGGTACAAAAGTGTGACCATAAAGTCCAGTGAGGAAAACAGAAATTGTACTAGATATTCCAAAAATTGTACTAGATATTACAGGGGATTGGTTATACAGGTGTTGTGATGCTGAAAGAAAAGGGCGTGAATTGCAGAATAATCTAGAAATGTCAAACTTTCAGGGCACATGAGAGAATAAAATGGAAAGGGTGAGATTAACAAACTCTGAGCTGGGATGAGGGAGCCTCCCTGGGCTGCTGTCTGAACCCTGGAGGAGAGACCTGTCCTGCTGATGTTCAACCATGCGCAAGCCCAAACCTAATGGCTGCCCGTGTTGAAGCAATTCTTAGAGGAACTGAGAAACAGGAAGGAAGACCCTTCTCCATTCTATTCCACCTTCTAACTCCCTCCCGTGCCTTTGATTAACAGGCCTGACAGGAAACTGGCAAAGAAGATTGGGAAATGAAGTTTGCAGAGTCTCAACCCTAAAGTCACAGAGCAGAATATGGTCTCAGAACAGACAATAAGTAAAAAAAACCCCACCTCCTTCGCCAACATCCATACACAACAATCTGCTCTTACTTGCTTGCTTCTCCACCTCAAGGTGCAACAATTTTTCCTACAAATGAAGACATATGGAGCCCCTGTGCACGG